AGCGCTCTACCACTTGAGCTACAGCACCACTTCTGGAGTTTACGGATTATGTGATACTGAGGAATCAACCCAGGGCTTCAGGTATGCTAAGCAAACCACTCTACCACTGAGCCACACTCGCAGTCCTGTCCTTGAGCTTCTTTTGCCCTAGGCAAGCACTCTACCACTAGAGCTAATTTGCCACTTCCAGCTTTTTCCAGAGTAGATTATTGGCGATAAGTCTCAAGGAGTTATCTGCACGAGCTGACTTTGAACTGTGATCCTCAGATCTCAGCCTCCTTAAGTAGCTAGGATTACCGGTGTAAGCTACCACTGCCCAAGCAAAAGAAAACATTTTTTTTTAAAGCAATTTCTCTTGTGTGTATGCAGTACTGGGTTTGAACTTAAGGCCTGGCACTTGCTTGGTGCTGCTTGTGTTGCTTTTTCCCAGGTTTAGCCTGAGGGTTCAAAAGATCCCTGTGCTTCTGCTTCTTGAGTAACCGGGACTACAGGCATACACCTCCATGCCAAACCAAAGGCAGCCCTTTTTTTTTCCTCTTCCTTTTCTGTCCATCGTGGGGCTTGAACTCAGGGCCTGGGCACTGCCCCTGAGCTTTTTCTCTCAAGGCTAGTGCTCCACCACTTTGAGCCACAGCGCCACTGACCAGGGAGCACTTTCAATGCACGGTGTCACCGCCTCCTTTTCCCATTCTTGTTCAGGGCCATCACCACACACAAGCAAATGAAGCACAGAGTTGTGCGATGCCCACAGCAAGCCTGGGTAGGAAGGAAAGCAGCCCTTGGCCGAGGGGCCCCCCTGCCAGGCCCGGCTGCCTGTACCCCTGGCACCTTTCTGCCCCAGTAAATTCAGGGCAGTGTGCCTGGCACAGCAAAGAGGAGGAAGAAAAAAAAAACCTAGGACTGTGGGAAGGCAGGAGCAAGGCTGGGCGCCCAGCCTGATGGCTTTTCTCAGTCTCCTGGCCCATCTCTATGGTGCCACCCACGAGAAAGAGCTGACTGAGACGCCAGGGTGAATGTCACCGCGGCCGACCAATAACTAGGAAGAGGAATGCCGGCTCAGGGGATGGGGATGTTATCTATTGGCAGCCACACCAAAGACTTCCTGGAATAGAAGAGCCCGCCCTTGCGGGAGGGAGAGGCCGGCAGTAAGGGGGAAGGGCAAGGGGGTGAACCAACTCGGACAGCACTCATTCATCCACTTCCTGAATCCCAGAAACAACCCGGGAGAAGCACTTGCCTGCCGGATGGCTTTGGTGGAGCAGGGGGGGGTGGGAACAAGGACTGCTCCTCGGCTGCTCTCCCCAAGAGAAAAAGAGCTGCACCCCAGCACTTGCTTTCCAGGCCCAACTAGGCAAGAGGCCCATTACACCAGCTCCATGGAAAGAAGCTCCTAGCTGAGCCTCCTTGCTAGCTGAACTCCTCCTGTGGCTCGCAGACCCTGGGATGCTGTGCTAAGGTCCAGGACAGGATTCTAGAAAGTTCTCCTGAGCTCAAACTTCCAACTGAGGAGAGGAAAAAAGTTTTCAAGCTTACTCTTTTGGTTCTCTTCTCTCCCCCCTCCCCCCATTCTCTGGTCATTCCTGGGAGAGAGACAGGAGGCTGCCAGTGATGTGTAGACACTAAGAGTGGGCTGACAAGATGGATTCACTTGTAAGAAAGGAAGAGCCAGCTTTGGGGGCAGAGAGGAGAGGGGAAAGCCAGCCTAGGAGAACCAGACAAGGCAGATCTCCCCCGCCACCCCAAGTCCAGCCACAGGGTGACAGTGGAGGCTAGCTGGGGCCATCAGACACAAGGTCTCCCCCCTAAGCTTTAGAAAGTCTGGGGGGGGGGGCACAGATGGGCGACCCGACAGCAGACAGAGGTCACTCGGGGACAGCTAGCCAGGCAGCAGGGGACTTCCGGGTGGGGGTCTGGACAGATGGACAGCCAAATGGTAACGGTAGGAGAACCAAGCAACCAAACAAAACGGGGCACGGGGCTGGGGGGGGGGGGAGGAGGTGAGGCGGGAGGCGCGGCTCCAGATAAACGAACCGCCATGCAGACGGCGGCAGTCACCCCGCGAAGACACCCCAGGGGCTCCCCGGAGACACGGGCAGAGCCGATCGGACTCCGTAACACCGAGAACCCCCAAAATCATGTCACTGCTGAGAGCCGGGGCGACACGCACGGCCGAGGGGCGGGGGGTGTCCGCCGTGCGGGGTCGCCGCCCCGCCGCGGGGCCGGGCCCGCCTCCCCGGTGCCCGTCCCCGGCGCCCGCCCGCCCGCACGCACGCGCGCGCCGCGGTTACGCCGTCCGCGCAGGGCGCGCCATGCCCGAGCCCGCCCGCCCTCCGCGCCCTAGGCCGCCGCCCGCCGCCCGCCGCCGCCCGCCGCCCGCCGCCGCCCGCCCGCCCGCCCGCCCGCCGCCGCCCGCCGCCCGCCCGCCGCCCGCCGCCCGCCCGCCGCCCGCCGCCGCCCGCCGCCCGCCGCCGCCCGCCGCCCGCCCGCCGCCCGCCGCCCGCCCGCCGCCCGCCGCCCGCCGCCCGCCGCCGCCCGCCCGCCGCCCGCCGCCGCCCGCCCGCCGCCGCCCGCCGCCCGCCGCCCGCCGCCGCCCGCCGCCCGCCGCCCGCCGCCCGCCCGCCGCCCGCCGCCCGCCCGCCCGCCGCCCGCCGTCGCCCGCCCGCCGCCCGCCGCCCGCCCGCCCGCCGCCCGCCCGCCCGCCGCCCGCCGCCCGCCCGCCCGCCGCCCGCCGTCGCCCGCCCGCCGCCCGCCGCCCGCCCGCCCGCCGCCCGCCGCCCGCCCGCCCGCCCGCCGCCCGCCGCCCGCCGCGCTCGCTCACCGGCCCACGAAGTTCTCGAGCACCGAGCTCTTGCCGGCGCTCTGGCCGCCCACCACGGCGATCTGCGGCAGGTCCAGGTGGCAGCTCTGGCCGATGGAGCTGAAGGCGTCCTGCAGCTTGTTGACCAGCGGGATCAGCTCCTCCATCCCGCGGTTGCCCATGGCGCCGGCGGCCCGGCCCCCCCGCCCGAGCGCCCGGCGCTCCCGGCCCGTGTCCTAACCTTCCCGGACCTTCTCCTCAACGACCCGGCCCCGCGACGCCAGTGGCCGTTGCTTTCCCCCCACCCCGACCCGTCCCCGGGACTCGGCGAGACGACGCCAGCTCCCGGTTCGGCCTCACAGTCGCCGCCTCATCCGCCTCATCCGGTTCTCAGGCGACACCCGACCGGAGCGACCTCCCCGCCCCGGCGCGGGGGGCGGGGAGGCTGCGCCCCAAAAAAAATCTAAAGCCGCCTTGAATTGGTCCACACTGTTGCCACTCACGCATGTGAGCCAATGAAGACCTACAGCTGAGTAAGCCTTCCTCCGAGGGGCTGTTCCGCGAGCTCATTGGAGGAAAGAGCTGTCACTCTTGTGTGACAGCCAGTAGGAATAGAAACTGAGTTGTCAAGGCTCGGGAGGCGGTGTTTCGGGAAAAGACATGGTGGCTCCGCCCAATATGGAGTTCCACAGGTTTATTGGCAGAAAGAACTGCCAGTCTGAAAGATAGCCAATGATGTTAGAGATCGAGCCTCAAACTCTGGTTTGTTACTTGACGCTATCTAGTTCCCTAAAGTTTTTCTATTGGTCGAAATAAATGTCATTTCGCTTCTACAGCCAATAAGGCAAAAGAGGCTGAGCTTCAACGTTCCAATCTTGACTCTAATTGAGAACTGTATCTGTCAATCAAAGGAACTCTCATTCTAACTGGTGATTGTAGTACGTTACTGTCTTCTGAAGAAACTCCCATTCTAAACTGGTGATTGTTGTGTATTAGTCTTCTGAAGTACAGGTTAAGATCCGCCATGCTCGCCGAAAGGCGACACCTCGTGGTGGGACCCAGTGACTGTCACGTCTGAGTTTTGGGATTCTATAGAAACTCCATGTCCCAGAATGCCTCGTCATTCCCAGCCTGCGTGACGCTCTGAACGCGGAGACCCAAGACGCTCAGAAGTTGAGTCAAGCAAGATTTATGTCTCCTAGGGAGAGAAGGAGACTAAAGTCAAGGCTTGAGCCGCGGATGTGGCCCAGTGGTAAAGTGCCCGTGCCGAGACACAAAGAAGAGCTGTTACTTTTTTTAGTCGTGGGGCTTGAACTCAGGGCCTGGGCACTGTCCCTGACCTCTTCCATTCAAAAGCTAGTATTCTACCACTTTGAGCCACAGCGCCACTTCCGGCTTCTGGTGGTTCCTTGGTGATAATTCTCCTGGACTTTCCTACCTGGGCTGGCTTCGAAGCATCATCCTCAGATCTCAGCCTCTTAAGTAGCTAGGATTACAGGCCTGAGCCACCAGCGCCAAGACAGCAGTAACTTCTTGATGTTAACCTTGGGCAAGCTACTTCCTATTTCAACTCCTGCCAATGGCGACATGAGTGTTCACTGGGATTAAAGATTCACGCTGCCACACTCAGCTTGTTAACTGGATGTTCTGTTTCTCCCAGTTGGCCTCTAATGATCCTCCACATTTCCACCTCATAAGTAGCTGGAATTAAAGGGTGAATTTCCACATCCCAATTCTTTATGGCTACTTTTTACTGGTAGGCTTTAAGTCAGGGCCTGGGTGCTGTGAACTTTTGTGCTCAAGGCTAGCCACAGTTCCACCTCCTACTTTTTTGCTAGTTAGTAGGAGACAAGAGACTCACAAGTTTTCTAAAATGGACTGGCTTTGAACCTATCCTCAGATCTCTGCTGAGTGGCTAAGATTACAGGCCTGAGCCACACTGTACCTAGCTTGTATAGTTACTTTTCATTAGTAGGAGGGAGACCCAGATAGATCACCTCCCCAAGAACACACAGACACATGCTAGTTAGAATTTCAAAGTTTATATATATTTTTTTAAAAAAGTACAGGGCTGGGAAGGTGGCTCCGTGGTAGAGTGCTTGCCTCACATGCATGAGGCCCTGGGTTTGATTCCTCAGCACCACAAAAGCAGAAAAGGCCGGAAGTGGCACTGTGGCTCCAATGGTAGAGCGCTGGCCTTGAGCTGAAGAGCTGAGGGACAGCGCCCAGGCCCAGAGTTCAGGCCCCACGGTCGCCCGCTCCCCCCGACAAGAAAGTACAAACAATCTTTAAAAAAAAATCTCTTCCAAAGCCCCCAACTTCCCTCTGTCGTGGCCTGCTCAGTTCAATGTGATCCCCACAGAGGCCAGGGCTTCGGAGGCCCAGGCGGGGCAGAGGCTGTGGTCCCCGTACATGGTGCGCATGAAGCTCCGCACGAAGTCAGGGAAGCGCTGCTCCAGGATGCTGGTGCGCATGGCGCTCATCAGCTGCAGCTGCAGGGAGGGGCGTGGTCACCGGCCCCGCCCCGCCGGGAAGCCCCGCCCCGGGAGCCCCGCCCCGCCGGGAAGCCCCGCCCCGGGAGCCCCGCCCCGCCGGGAAGCCCCGCCCCGCCCCGGCCCACCTGGTAGGCGATGTTGTGGACAGTCAAGTGGTGCAGGGCCGCCGTGTTGTCGCTGTGGAGCAGGGCGTGCAGGAAGGCCCGGCTGTGCCTGGAGCGCCGGGGGAGGGGGCAGGCAGTGTCTGAGCAGGGCCCACCCCGAGCCCCTCCAAGCCCCCCACTTCCTCACCTACTTCTGGCAGGTGGGGCAGGCGCAATCCGGGTCAATGGGGCCGAAGTCCTTGGCATACTGCTTCCTCTTCAGTTGCAGGTTCCCGGTGGGCACCAGGGCGGAGCCAAAGCGCTGGAAGGGGGGGCACGGGAGGGAGGGAGAGGAAGTGTCATCCGGGACTTCATCATCAGGACCCTTCCCCCACCCCGGTTTCCCACAGTCCTCTGCGCCCCGCCGCGCGTCTCACCGCTGTCCGGGTGGGAAAGACGCAGTCGAACATGTCACAGCCGAGGGCCACGCAGACCACGAGATCCGTGGCGTAGCTAGTGAGGGGCAGGGGTGCAGCCACGGGGGGCCAGTGAAGGCGGACCCCACCCCACAATAGGTCCCAGCCACCTTCTCATCTCCCCCCCAAAGCACCCCCCAACAGGGGGGAGGGGAAAATCTGCCTCCACCCCCCCCCAGGTGAGGCCCAGCCCCAAACATACCCGACCCCCATGAGGTAGCGGGGCTTGTCCTTAGGCAGCATGGAGGTACTCAGCGCCACCATCTTCCAGAACTGGGCCTTGCTCTCGCCCCCACTCAGGCCCCCAATGGCAAAGCCCGGCACGTCCCTCTTGGTCATTTCTGGGGGCACAGATGGATGGTGGCCAAGTGTCAGTGGCCCCACACCATTGATTTTTGTTCCTATTCTGTACAGTTGACACTAAATCCCAGGAATCAATACTTCAGTCAAATGTAGGCCTTGAGCTGAGCACGGTAGCTCATGCCTGTAATCCCTAAGCATGAGGCAGGAAGAAAGGAAGTTCCAGGCTAGCCTGAGCCAACATGGTGAACAACAGACGGAAGATGTTCTCACCCAACCACAGGCTCATGTGCATGTTTTAAGCCCATTTATCACAGGGTAGGCTGAGCTAGGCTATTTGATACAGAGGTATAGTAAATGCATTTTGGCTTTTCAACATAAAGATTTCTTTTTCTTTTTTTTTTTTTGTCGGTTGTGGGGCTTGAACTCTGGGTCTGGGCGCTGTCCCTCAGCTCTTCAGCTCAAGGCGAGCGCTCTACCACTTGAGCTACAGCGCCACTTCCGGTTTTCTGGTGGTTTATTGGAGATAGGAGTCTCACGGTCTTTCCTGCCCGGGCTGGCTTTGAACCGCAATCCTCAGATCTCAGCCTCCTGAGTAGCTAGGATTACAGGCGTGAGCCACCAGCGCCCGGCAAAGATTTCTTTTTCCAATGCCAGTGCTGGGGCTTACACTCAAGGCCTTGAGCTCTTGCTCTACCACTTGGTCCAATTCTGGCTTTTTGGTAGTTAGATAAGAGTCTCATTAACTTTTCTTTCTTCCTTTTTTCTTTTTTTTTTTCTTTTTGGTCGATCGTGGGGCTTGAACTCTGGGCCTGGGTGCTGTCCCTGAGCTCTTCAGCTCAAGGCTAGCGCTCTACCACTTAAGCCACAGTGCCACTTCTGGTCTTCTGTTGTCTTATTGGAGATAAGAGTTTCATGGCTTTTCCTGCCCAGGCTGGCTTTGAACTTGGATCCTCAGATCTCAGCCTCCTGAGTAGCTAGGATGACAGGTGTGAGCCACTGGCGCCTGGCTTCTCATGAACTTTTCTGCTTGGGCTGGCTTCAAACTGTGCCTCTCAAATCTCAGCCTGCTCAGCAGCTAAAATTACAAGTGTGAGCTACCTGTGCTCTGCCTTAGTTTCTGCTTTCATGAACATGAGCTGGGCTCTGTTATCTAGACTCACTGAACCAGAAGGCAGGAGGTTGACAAGGACCTCTTTTGTTTATTCTTTTTTTTTTTTCTTTTTAAGTAGTACAGAGTTTTGAACTCAGGGCTGGAAATACGGCTTCATGGTAGAGTGCTTGCCTAGCATGCATGAAGCCCTGGGTCCAATTCCTCAGTACCACATACACAGAAAAAGCCAAAAGTGGTACAATGGCTCAAGTGGTAGAGTGCTAGCCTTGAGCAAAAAGAAGCTCAGGGACAGTGCTCATGCACTGAGTTCAAGCCCCAGGACTGGCAAAAAAAAAAAAAAAAAGAAGAAGAAGAAGAAGAAGTTTGAACTCAGGGTGCTGTACTTGGTGGGAATTACAGTGTGCACTGCCACACACAAAGGATTTTTCTATTCTTTTTTGGAAGTGGTGGAAATTGACCTCAGGTCCTCACAATCGCTAGGCAGGCGCTTGAAAGCAAAGAACCACTTCCAGCCCCTTTGGACATTATTTTCTACACACATCTCATTTTATCTTCAGGAGTCTCTGTGCTCTGCTCCTCCTGCTGGTGCTTCTCAGTGTTTGTGGGAAGCCACTGTGCTTTCCTTGTAGCTGGGAGAGCAGGCGTGCACCACCATGCTCAGCCATTGGTTGAGATGGAGCTGAGAAGGTCTTTTTATCTGGGTTGGCCTAGAACTGGGACTATCCTAATCTCTGTTTCCCAAGTAGCTAGGATAACAGAGATGAACCCCTGTGCCTGACAGAAGACCTCTTTTATAAGATCACAAGGCTGAAGGCAGGAGCAGGCAGATAGTTTGATTGGACGTTCCCAGTCAATCCTTACCGTCATTGCCTGAAAGTAGAAACAACTCCCCGCTTTACAGAGGAAAAGAAGGTCCAGAGAAGTAGTCAATGGCACAGAGGTACCTAGCCCCCAGCAGAAGATTAAGAAGGGATGCAGACAAATGAGCATTCTCAGCTTGCTCGGGTCAGCCCATTGCCTGGAGCCCTGCTGCCTCTGCCTTCTCTAGTTCATCTTTTTTTTTTTCTTTTTGTCAGACATGGAGCTTGAACTCAAGGCCTGGGCGCTGTCCCTGAGTTCTTTTGCTCAAGGCTAGCACTCTATCACTTTCAGCCGGAGCTCTACATCCTATTTTTTGGTGGCTCACTGGAGATAAGAGTCTCATGGACTTTCCCGCCCAGGCTGGCTTTGAACCACGATTCTCAGATCTCAGCCTCCTGAGTAGCTAGGATTATAAGCGTGAGCCACCGACACCTGGCTCCTTGGCACTTTTTCTTTGGGCAAGATAAAGGGTCTTCCATTTTCTGTCCATCAGTTATGAATGGTTTTTTATGATGGGAATCGGATCTGGCCCCTCTCCTGCTCTATAGTCCTCCATGCCTCCCCAGTAACTCAGTGGACCATGCCAGGACCTCCAGAACTGGCAAAATAAAACTAAGCACTCACCTCTGACCCTATATTTCCAACTTCCAGGGCAGGAATGGTAGCGTACAGTAAACACTGAAGCATCTAAACCCCAAATAAGGACACCCAAGCTGCACAGAACTAGGGTAAGTGACACAAGAGCTCTGTGGCTCAGATTCTACATCAGTAACTTTGGAAACCTATTTGTTTCCACTGTACGGAGTGGCTCTCAAGACTCAAAAGAACCAGGCACTGGCTGCTCACATCTGTAATCTAAGCTAGGCAAAAGAGTAAGATCTGGGGGCTGGAAAGGTAGCTCAGTTTTAGAGTGCTTGCCTTGCATGCATGAGGCCCTGGGTTTGATTCCTCAACACCACATAAGCAAAAAAAGCCGGAAGGGCACTGTGGCTCAAGTGGTAGAGTGCTCACGTTAAGCTGAAGAGCTGAGGGACAGCGCCCAGACCCAGAGTTCAAGCCCCACAACCCACCAAAAAAAAAAGATCCGGAGAATCACAATTTGAGGCCAATTCAGGCAGAAAAAATAACACTAGATTCCACTTCCAAAATAACCTACAAAAGGGGCTGGGAATGTGGCTTAATGGTAGAGTGCTTGCCAAGCAAGCACGAAGCCCTGGGTTTGATTCCTCAGTACCACATACACAGAAAGCCAGAAGTGGCCTGTGGCTCAAGTAGTAGAGTGCTAGCCTTGAACAAAAGAAGCTCAAGGACAGTGCATAGGCCCTGAGTTCAAGCCCCAGCACTGGCAAAAAAAAAAGCCAGGCTGGAGGCATGGTTGACGTGGTATATCAGCTGTCTACTTAAGTAAAAGGACCTGAGTTCAAACCCTAGTTCTGCAAAAACAAAAAACAAAACAAAAAACCTCAACAGATTAATCTGGAATCAGAATTTGGCATATTGACCTGGTACTGGTGGCTCATGCCTGTCATCCTAGCTACTCAGGAAGCTGAGATCTGAGTATCAGGGTTCAAAGAGCCAACCTGGGCAAGAAAGTCCATGAGACTCTTATCTCCAATGAACCACCAGAAAACGAGAAGTGGCACTGTGGCTCAAAGTAGTAGAACACTACCCTTGAGCTAAGAACTCAGAGACAGCGCCCAGGCCCAGAATTTAAGCACCATGACTGGAAAAAAAAAAAGGGAATTTTTCATGTTGCATGGTAATTATGGAAAAATCACCAAGTATTGAATTTTTCACCTTCTCCAAACATATGCCTCATTGGGGCCTCCTTTGTCTTCTCTATTTTACTTTATTTACTTACTTAGTGTACCTGCTCAAACAGGGGCTTGAATTCAGCTCCTACACATTACCTATCAGTTCTTCTGCTGAAGGCTAGTGCTCTCCCACTTGAGCCACAGCTCCACTTCCAGCTTCTTGGTGCTGAATTGGAAATGAGAGTCTCACAGGACTTTTTGCCTGAGCTGACTTTAAACATGATCCTCAGATCTCAGCCTCTTGCATAGCTGGGACTACAGGTGTGACCTACTGTGCCCAGCTTGTTTTACGGTTTTTTTTGTTTTTGTCAGTCATGTGCCCTGAACTCTGGGTCTGGGCGCTGTCCCTCAGCTCTTCAGTTCAAGGCGAGCGCTCTACCATTTGAGCCACAGAGCCCACTTCTGGCTTTTTCTGCTTATGTGGTGCTGAAGAACTGAACCCAGGGTCTCATGCATGAAGGCAAGCACTCTACTACTGAGCCACCTTCCCAGCCCCTGTTTAACTCTTTAATGAAGCACCATCCCTGTGCCTGGCCTGTGTGGAGGACTGTGATGGACAAGGCCTGGTGCTGCCAGCATCTGGCTCCCTCTACCTTCAAGGCAAGTTGTCCGGAGATCCGCATCAAGCCCACCCTGGATGATGGCGAACAGATTCTGCTTGTCATGCCGCTGATGAGCTGCAATGCACCGGTCCAGCCAGCGGACTGATCTGCAAGAGAGCCCTGGTTGTGAGTCCCAGGGGCCTGTTGAAGTGAAGGGACCTGGATCCCCTCCTACTACCACATGTCAGCTTACCTGTGCATGGCCTCCTCCACGCGGGGGCCTGTCACAGTGCTGCTGACCACGTCGTCCAGCTGCATGATGATGTCTGAGCCTGAGGGTGAGGTAGGACGCTGTCACTAAGGAGTCCCCCACCAACTGGGCACATGATAAACCCCAGCAGTGCCTGCCACATATGGCTGATTCCTAGGCAGCCATCCTAACCTGTGTAAACAGAGGACTGATTGATTGATTGTGCTGGTCCTGAAACTTGAACTCAGGGCCTGGGCTGTTGCTTAGGTTTTTTTTGCTCATGGCTGGCCTTCTACCACTTAAGCAAAAGCTCCATTTCTGGCTTTTTAGTGGTTCTTTGGAGATAAGAGTCTTACAGACTCTTTTTTAAACCACCACCTTCAGATCACAGCCTTCTGAGTAGCTAGGATTCCAGGCATGAGTCACTAGTGTCCAACTTGAATAGCTTTTCTTCTCATAGAGGGAAAATGCAGAGTACACTTAAACTTGCTCGTATTTACTGTAAGCAGTGCAAGGGTCTATAACACATTAGTAACAGTAGCAAAGCAACCAGTGGGAGTACAGGAGATGGGTAGGAGGACGCGAGTGGAAGGGGCCCTGTTAACACATTTCATACAAAAAAGTACAAAGAATCTATCTTTGTCCCGGGATACCCAGGACTCCCCCTGGGATCCGCTCACCCAGCGCATTCTGGATCTCCACCGACCTCTCTGGGCTCAACAGGGTCTCTTTGCCATCATAGGGGGAGCGGAAGCGGACGCCCTCCTCTGTCACCTCGGAGAGCGACACCAGGGACACCATCTGGAAGCCTCCGCTGTCCTGAGGGAACCCCCATCGCAGAGCTGTCAAAGGGGTTAGAGATTGTGGACCGACCCCCCCAAAGAGGCATCCACGATCTCCGCCCCACCCACTCACCGTCAGGAGATTGTGGGGCCAGTTCATGAAGCCATGGAGACCCTGGGCTTTTTGGATGAGCTCAGGACCCTGCGACCGGCGTGGGGGGCGGAAGTGTCCGGTTACGGGGTGAGGCGACCCCGGGTCCCGAGGGCTCCGCCCCGTGGCCCTCCCGCGTCCCGATCCCCCACTCACCGGCCGCAGCCCCAGGTGGTAGGTGTTGCCCAGGCAGATGCGGCAGCCCAGGTCGTGCAGCTGCTCCGCGGTGATCCCCTTCATGGTGGCCTGCGTGCCCACGGGCATGAACACCGGAGTGGACACCGGCCCGTGCGGCAGCCGCAGCTCCCCGGCTCGGGCTCTGGAGCGACTGCACTCGGACACCAGCCGAAAGATGCGCGGAGCCGACTCGGCGGAAGCCGGGATGGTGGACGCCATCTTCGCAACCGGAAGCACGTGGGCCGGGAGGGGCAGTGGGCGGTGCCCGATGGACGCTGGCCACGTGGGCGGGGCGGGGCGGGGCTACGCCGCTGGGGAAAGCGTCCGGGCGCCATGGCAACGGGTGCGCGCCGACGCACACCCGCCCGGCGCGGGGCCCGCTGCCTCCCACGGGCGGCGAACTCCATCCGCGCCCCTATTTTCTGGCTCCTGATCTCCTCCTGTATAAAACCTAGCGAGTAGCCGGGCGCCGGTGGCTCACGCCTGTCATCCCAGCTACTCAGGAGGCTGAGCTCTGAGGATCGAGGTTCAAAGCCAGCCTGGGCAGGAAAGTCCGTGGGTCTCTGATCTCCTATGAACCACCAGGAAACTGGAAGTGGCGCTGTGGCTCAAGTGGTAGAGCACTCATCTTGAGCTGAAGAGCTGAGGGACAGCGCCCAGGCCCAGAGTTCAAGACCCATGCCCGACAAAAATAAAAATAAAATCTAGCGAGTTATAGGTAACACCTCGGCATAAGGACGAGGCAAAGGCTCACTGAGAACTCCTGTATTGATATCAGTGCCTGATGCTTTTTTTAAAAAATTATTTGGTGCTGGTTCAGGGCCTTGAGCTCAAGGCCTGGACGCAGGCTCTAAGCTTTTATGCTCAAAACGAATGCTCTAGCTTTTAAGTGGTAGCTCAACTTCCAAGGTTTTTGTTGTTTTGGTTTTTTGGGTGGTTAATTGGAGATCCTAGTCTTCCAGAGTTTCCTGACTTTGAATTCCAATCCTCAGATCTCAGCTTCCTGAGTGGCCAAGATTACAGGCACAAGCTACCAGCACTGAGCAGGTTTGATGCTGACTTTTATGCTCTTCCTTTAACCTAATGGCTTAGAACAAGACCTACCACATAGTAAATGCTGAATAAATGTTATGTATTCACAAAGTATGTAATGATCACAATAAAATCCCTTCATGTTAAAAACGTTGTCCAAAGAAATATAAGTATTCATTGCCTAGTTTACAAAATGGTAACTCCTCTGCACACCATTCCCCACCGCCACCCCCTGCTTTTTGGTCGGTTTTGGGATTGAATTGAGGACCTGAGCACTGTCCTTGAGCTCTGTTTGCTCATGGCTAGTGTTCTACCACTTTAGGCCACAGCTCCACTTCCAGTTAGAAAACTGATTAATTGGAGATGAGAGCCTCATGGCCTCAGGTTGACTGAACCATGATCATCCTCAGATCTCAGTAGTCCCTGGTCCTCAGACCTCAGCCCCTGAGTAGCAAGGGTCCTAGGCATGAGTGAGTCACTAGCAATCAGCCTACATCTTAATAAAATTCCTTTTAGTGTATGCTAATATTTTTTAAGTTTCCTCCTCTTTAGCCTGGCACTGACGTCTAACATCTATCTATAATCCTGAAATCTGATGATCAGGAATCAAAGGCCAGCCCAAGCAAGAAAGACTCTGAGACTCTTATTTCCAATGGCCAATCCACCCCTCACCCCCCCCCACACACACAAAAGCTGGGCTGTGAAGGCAAGGAATATAGCTTAGTGGTAAAGTGCTTGACTAGTATGCATGAAGTCCTGGGTTTGATGGAAGTGGTGCTGTGGCTCAAGTGGTAGAGCGCTTGCCCTGAGCACCAAGGGGCTCAGAGAGAGCCCAGGTTCAAGCCCCAGGGCTAGCAAAAAGAAAAAACCTGCAAGTCAGCTCCCACTCAAGTGGTAGAGCACTAGTCTTGAGCATAATAGCTCAGGGACAGTGCCCAGGACCTAAATTCAAGCCACCTCCCTCCCCCGGACAACCTGCACATAATACAGACCACAAAGTTTCTTCAATAATAGAAATATCAGGTTTGAAAATGGGAAGGCTGATACAAAATTTGTCTTTAATTATTAGTTCTCTAAGTGCATATATATGTGCATACAAATATATATATATATATATGTATATGTATATGTATATATAACCCACTCCTTCAGTCTTCCTGCTGCACAAGAGTAAGGAAGTCTGAGTCACAGATTTACTGATCTTGGATGTGTTCCATTAATAATCACACTCATAACATGTAATATGATATCCAATGTTTATTATTGGAAATATAGCTGACATTAAGCTGCCAGCAGAGAGCGCCATTGTTTCAGAATACCTCCACCAAGCTGAGAACTGTCCTACTAAACTAGACTGCTTCACTTCAGGCCTTTCTTGTATGGAAGCAGTTGGCCTCTTGCTCAGTAATACAGGTTAATAGCGCCAGTTTCTCAGAATGAAAGAGACTCCTTGGTATACAACCCATGGAAAATAAAAAAAAATGCATTGTCCAAAAAGAAATGTACTCTTTTGTTGGTGGTGGTCATGGTGCTTGAATTCTGGGCTTGGGTGCTATTCCTGTGCTCTTCAGCTCAAGGCAAGCAAGCGCTCTACTGCTTGAGCCACAGCACCACTTCTGGTTTTCTAGTAGTTTATTGGAGATAAGAGTCTCATGGACTTTTCTGCCTGTCCTGGCTTTGAACTGTGATCCTCAGATCTCAGCCTCCTGAGTAGCTAGGATTACAGGCGTGAGCACCAGTGCCCAGCAAGAAAAGTACTCTCTACCTGATTTTTGTAATAATAATCACTCTGTACGTCACCTTTATTTTATTCTGTCTGTACTGGGGCTTGAACTCTGGGCCTGGGTGCTGTCCCTGAGCTCTTCAGCTCAAGGCGAGCACGCTATCATTTGAGCCATAGTGCCACTTCTGGTGGTTAATTGGATAGGAGTCTCAGGGACTTTCCTGCTTGGGCTGGCTTTGAACCGCAATCCTCAGATCTCAGCCTCCTTAGTAGGTAGGATTACAGATGTGAGCCGCCAGCACCCAGTTGTACATCACACTTATAATTATAATTTAAATTTTAAAAATATGTAATTTTAAATATATATGTATATATTATACCAGGGTACCACAGCTGTAATCCTAGCTACTCAGTAATCATGAGAATCCGGGGTGGGGAGGATTCGTGGGGTTTAAACTCAAGGCCTGGGCACTTTGCTCAAGGCTAGTGAGCCCCAGTGCCAGTTCTAGTTTTCTGGTGGCTAATTAGAGATAAGATTCTCAGAGAAAGCCGGGCGCTGGTGGCTCACGCCTGTAATACTAGCTACTCAGGAGGCTGAGATCTGAGGATCAAGGTTCAAAGCCAGCCCGGGCAGGAGAGACCATGAGACTCCTATCTCCAATAAACCACCAGAAAACCGGAAGTGGCGCTGTAGCTCAAGTGGTAGAGCGCTCGCCTTGAGCTGAAGAGCTGAGGGACAGCGCCCAGGCCCAGAGTTCAAGCCCCTACGACCGACAAAAAAAAAAAAAAAAAAAAAAAAGGATTCTCAGAGATTTTCTTCCTTGGGCTGGCATCAAAACTGCCATCCTAGCCAGGTGCCGGTGGCTCATGCCTGTAATCCTAGCTACTCAGGAGGCTGAGATCTGAGGATTGCAGTTCAAAACTAGCCCAGGCAGGAATGTCCGTGAGACTCTTATCTCCAATAAACCACTAGAAAACCGGAAGTGGCTGTGGCTCAAGCTGTAGAGTGCTCGCTTTGAGCTGAAGAGCGCAGGGACAGCATCCAAGCCCAGAGTTCAAGCCCCAGGACCAAAAAAAAAAAAAAACCAAACCTGCCCTCCTTAGATCTCAACATCCCGAGTAGCTAGGGTTACAGATTTGAGCCACTCATGCCCAGCTTTCCATGTGTCTCTTATCTCCAATTAACCACCCACAAACACCAGAAGTAGAGCTCTGAATCAAAGTGGTAGAGCACTAGTCTTGAACAGAAGAGCTCAATGCCTAGGCTTTGTGTTCAAACCACATGACAAACCAACAAAAACATGAATAAGCCAGCCTCACGGGTATAATTCTACCTACTCAGGATATAAGGATTGAAGCCCCAGATTAATGAGATCAAAAAGTTAGTGGAGACCCCCCCCCCCACACCATCTCAATAAGCTGAGTGTGGTGGTCCATCCCTGTAAACCACCCCCTACACCAGAGGTATTAGATATGAGTATCATAGGCTAAGATTAGAGGTGAGGATCAAATGGTAGAGTACCTACCCAGCAAGTGAGATGTGAGTTCAAGCCCCCATTACCATAAATTAATTGAAAATGGCGCTGAGGATCATTCTGATGACCTAGCCCTTGTTAAATGCAGAAACATGTACACAGCATAGTCAATATAACATTTTTTTTTTTTGGAGGGGGGTCCGGTCATGGGGCCTGAACTCTGGGCCTGGGCGCTGTCCCTCAGCAATTCAGCTCAAGGCCAGCGCTCTACCACTGAGCCACCTTCCCAGCCCCTCAATATAACATTTGGAACACACAGACTGCCAGACACTCTTCTGCCACACAGCTGTAACCAAAAACGAAAGCCTTTCCCTTGCAGTGACCATCACAGATAGTCTGGGAAGAGGTCTGTTTGGTTTCTGCTCTTCTCCTTTCCAGATGGGCTGTCGCCTCAAAGTCTAGGGGCGCGGTAAGCACAGGGAGAGGCTGCATGGCGTCTACCTTCTTCCGCATTTAGCCGTAAGGGGAGTGGTCCCAGGCACAGGCTTTGACGGCCGTTTCAGCACAATGGACAGCGCCCAGACGGTTGCCAGGACACCAAGGGAAACATTTCGTGGGGGCGGAGCCTGTGGTCTTGCCCCATCAGGAACAGCGCGAAGGGGGCGGAGCCTGAGAAAGCATCCTATCAGAGGAGGCGCTGGAGCCAGGAAGCAGAGGGGGCCGGGCTCCTGCGGCAGAACTTCACAGGCGGGCAGCACCAGGGATGCCACCTGGGATGAGAACAAGTGGCCGGGAGGAACTGGATGTTGGCAGATTTTCCGTGCCCAGCTGAACGCGGGCCCGACTCCAATGGTGTGAGCTGTCAGCAGCCCCATTCTCCATCGCTGCCCGGGGCAGCAGCCTACCCAAGGAGAGATGTGGTGGTTCGTTTTAGAGGGCTGGTGCCTAGAGGGCAACCAAACGTCGTCTGGGAAGTCTCCAGAGCAACAGACTGAACCTAAGACGCTCCAGGCACATAGGGTTTGATCGGGGTGATGGATCCAGAGGAGCCTGGGAGCACGTGCATTTGCTCTGCTTATATCTACTGGAGCAGGAAGCGCCCCGCTGTGCGACCTACCAAGACAACTTGCCACAGAGGCTGAGGTCAACGTGCTATCTCGTGGGAGATTTTGGCAAGACACTGGGCCAACGATTTAAGAGAGCTGTGGCCGTTCTTCCAGTCCTGTCTCCTAGGACCAAGAAGCAGGGAGCTAGGCATCTTTCTTTGGGGGCCTATTTGGAGAATTGTTTTACAACAGTCATGAGCCTCAGAGCAATTTCCTCAGTGCAGAGGACTCAACCACTGAGCTGGGCTGGGCATCTGCCTCTGCTCCCCTCTCCCCTCCTCCCCGAACTAGAAACAAGCCCAAGCCCAGCCTCACCACCCCCGAAGCTTGCTTCACACTAAGACGCCTGCCTGGACACTCCTTGTGCATGTGGGATAGGAACCCCCTCAGCGGCTGGAGGCTCTATGAGGCTACCACCCTCTTCCGGGGGACGGGGGACGGGGGACGGGAGCACAGGACGTGACACTTCAGTGGCAAAATAAATACGGTGAGCAAATGAGACAACAGACACGTGAACTCAGTTTATTCTGGGAAGGGTCAGTGAGCGTCGTGGCCTCCATGGAGGCTGGTTGCGCTGATGCCCAGAACCGCGTCCAGAGGTCTCAGGCGGGTAATGTGTACGGCCAGCATGGACGGAGCTCACACGGAGACTGAATGCGGAGGCGACACCCCAGCTGCGGAGGATCGGGACGCAGAGCTTCGGGGGCAAGGACAGGCCTTATGGACTGCAGGAGAACGGTCAGTGGTGGAGTGGATCTCCCTGCCAGGGCGGAGAGGAAGCAGGCGGCTAGGTGATGACCCCCAGATCAAACTGGACTCCAGCCCAAAGACAGGCAGAGCCCCAACGGCACTGCTCCATCAGGGAGGTAGAAATCCTGGGACTGTACCCCCATAACTCCATGGTCCCCGCTGGTCTTAAGTCACCAACCCCTAATACTCCACCCCCCCTAAGTCCAGAGTCCCTCTGAGGCCCTCCCCCTTTTCCTAATGTCATCCTTCCTTCACAGGGGGGTCCCAGGCCCTCTTGGTCTTTGGTGCCTGATGCCCCACTCCTGACCCCCATGGCTTATTCAGCAAGTACCTCGTCATGATCAACTCCAGAGGACAAACTGTGGGCCCCTGCTCTTCCTGTGGAGGCTCCTGGTGACCTGCACTGGACACGGGACAGCAGGTGAAGCAAGCCAGCGCATGCGGCGGGGAGGTGGAGCGCCTCCCACAGGCCTTCTCTACCCAAGGTGACAGCTGCGTCTTGGTTCGGTGGGGCTGGGGCGCTGGGATACCACCACAGGCCAAATGAACCCCAGCGCCCTCAGCAACAGGGAGGCCTGCAAGGTGTGCCACGGAGTGTACTGTGTTCTCCAGCTGCTCCTGAGACAAAGCACCTGGGCTCCTGTTGAGTCACGGAGTGTGCCATCCAACCCTCTCCAGCAAGACCTCAGGGACTCATCTAGAGTTTAGCCGTGCTTGGCAGGCAGTCCTCCGGCTGAGTTGGTGGGTGACACACAAGCCCTCCTCAGCCTGAATCCTCATCCAAAACCAGAATGCCAGTAGGAGTGTCTTCCTGTCCCAGCGGGTAGATGTGCCAATCAGACACAGCCCCTGACCATGGCAGCAGGGACTCCACTCGTCCACTACAGATCACTTGTGTGGAATGCTGGCTCTCACACACTGGAACTCCCACGTGAGCTGCTGCTCGGCCTGGTTTCACGCAGCCACATTCTCTTTCCAACTCTCCCGGGGCTGAGTCACTCATCCCTGGGGCTTCCTCTACACCGGCGTGAAGCGCAGAGACTTGTCTTTTGTGGATCCAGGAAGGCTCACGTTTACCCCCTTCCACGCAGCTCTCATTTGCTTCAGCAACGGCGGGGTCTCGCCACAGATGGGATCTTGTTCCTTCTTGCACATAGGATACCAGAGGGCAACCTAGAGGCTCAGGCCAACACCTGCCAGGTGTCCAGGAGGAGAGGCGGCTACAGGTGGACGAAGGCTCTTGGGGAGGTGCTGGACAGATGTCCAGCAGCAGAGACCCTTGGCGCCGCTTCACAAAAGCCTGGAGTTCTCTCGACTTGTGACCAGCTCCCCCACACTGAAGAACTGACAGGAGACAAATCTTCCCCCAGACCACTAGACTCAAGTCTCTGCCACTTGTAGGGAGCCCCAGCTCTCACTGGAAGCTTCTCTGGGGCGGCACACACCAGCCCCTCCCTACCAGCACAGCCGGCTGGCAGGATTCATGGAGCAGAAACAAACATGTGCCTGAGGCTCCAGCCTTCCGGGGGCTCCGCACGCTGCCAGGGGTGGAGCTGTGGAGCCCATGGGACGGGGGTAAAAAGACCCTCAGGTGGGCAGAAAGCTGGCTCTTGCCAAGCTTGGAATAGAGATGTCTGGAGGCCTGGAGTTGGACCCTCTCTGGTGACCAGGGATCGTCCTGCTGTCCCCACCCTGCATTCCAGGGCGGGAACAGAGCGGAGCAAGCTGCCCATCACCCGACTGACTGGAGGGTCAAACACCCAGGCCTGAGACAGTGCCATTTTCTTTTTCTTTATTTGTCTACATTCTTCTGAGTTTGGATGTACTGTCTGAATGATCCAGACATACCCAAAAAAAAAAAAAAAAAAAAAAATCCCACTCTTTCCCACTGGTTTTTAAAATAAAATCTTCACTTATAAAACTGAAACACTAAAGCATTAAAATACAGAAAGCTCATTGAACTCACTTCACAAAAGCATTAACAGATGATGCATCCCTTCCGTCACTATTGAAAGACAAACCAAGGCAATGCTAACACCAAGTGTAAATAGACAGAGGGATACTGAACGGCAAGAACGCAAAACTCTACCAGACGAGACTTGTAATGGCAACTAACAAACCACTGAAGACACGGAGTCCCAAACACGGCTAAATGCGGGTCACAGCACGGGCCCGGGGGCCGCTGCACCTCACGACACGGCAACGTGGACGGGTGGGGGATGCCTGCAGGGCCGGCGGACATGTTAACTGTGATGCATAAAACTGAATCTTCGGATGGGCTGAGGGCGTAAGTGCAGAAGGTACAGGAGGCAACCCGCGGGCTTTATCTGTACTGGTAGTTCATGCTGTGGTCTGTGTTCCGGCCGTAGCCCCCCTGTGAGGACTGGTAGGAGCCGGGAGGGCCACTGTAGCTCTGTCCAGACCCCGGGGAGTTGTAGTTTGACTGGGACGAGTAGCCTCCTGCAAGAGACAGGGCAGATTAAAGGAGGGGACAGCAGCGCCTGGGGCCATGGCCCCAAAGGGGGCAGCCCCTCGGACACCTGCTTTGGCTAAGTTGGCTAAGTATCTTTTACAAGTCATCCAGTCTTGCCTGCCACCAACACCCTGCAAGGTGGGATCACTTGCAAGCCCGGCCGCCAGGGGCTGTGGCACGTGGTGATCGCCTCACCACAGAACCGAGGGCCGCCTGGACCCATGGCTCCGCACGCGCTCCCGCGGAGATCACCACTCAGAGTGGCCCCTGGGTTTCTTGGACATCTCAAGTGGGTGCTGGCACTTGGGTTTTGAGGTAACGTCTGGTCTCAGGCCTCTCACATGCCCAAGCAGCTATGGTGGGTCCTACTTAGAAGCGGCAAGCAGCTTGCCAGTGCACCCACCCACAAGCCCTCTGTTCCTGCCCTGGCTCCTAGCTTCACAGCACCACCAGGCAGGACCTGCCACCTACTCCCTGGGCCCACCTTGTTTGCCTTGGTATGAAGAGCCGCCCCCAGAACCTCCGCCGTAGCCCCCGTGTGACCCAGGGTTGTAGGAGGACCCGCCTGAGCCATAGCTGTTCCCGCCACTTCGGCCTCCACTACCACTGTAGTCTAGGGGAGAGAAAACAGCAGTTAGGGGGCCTGGGGAAGGCAAGGTGGGGGTGGGCCAGGGCCCCACTGGCACTGCACAAGTCCCTGCTTAACTGTGGCACATGTCAGCCCTATAAGTAAGTACTAGGTTCCAAACAGAACCCAGTAAGTGACTATGCCCTGACCCTGGCCAGTCCCCAGGGATGGCACCTGCTCCCTCCCTGACATCCCCCACCATGCACAGCGCCTCGCTGCTGCCCACCGCCCCCGTCACGAGGACACACACACACACACGCCTACTCCACCCCACAGAGCCCACATGCAGCACAACCCACTGGGTCTGAGCATGAAGTAGAAGGAAAAGATGTGTGCTAGCCAGGTGCCGTGGCTCACTCCTATAATCCTAGCTACTCAGGAGCCTGAGATCTGAGGATCGTGGTTCAAAGCCAGCCCGGGCAGAAAAGTCCATGAGACTCTTTTTTTTTTTTGGGGGGGTCCGGTCGTGGGGCCTGAACTCTGGGCCTGGGCGCTGTCCCTCAGCTCTTCAGCTCAAGGCTTTTTTCTTTTTGCTTATGTGGTGCTGAGGAATCGAACCCAGGGCCTCAGGCATGCAAGGCAAGCGCTCTACCACTGAGCCACCTTCCCAGCCCCTCCATGAGACTCTTATTCCAATAAACCACCAGAAAACCAGATGTGGCGCTGTGGCTCAAGTGATAGAGCACTCGCCTTGAGCTGAAGAGCTCAGAGACAGTGTCCAGGCCCAGAGTTCAAGCCCCACGACCAACAACAACAGCAACAACAACAAATGTGGGCTGGAACAGGGACTGGACGCAACACTGCCTCCCTCCACAGCCTCCTCCCAAGAGGTGGTCTCGAGTTAAAACTCCACGTGCAGCAGCGCTGTGTGGGCTGCGTGGGCCCGCCGAAGCACCCGAGTATCCTGCACCAAGCCCTGGGCTGGAGGCCAACTCACTGAATTTGCTGTCGTAGCTGTAGTCGGCGCCGCCCCCGGGGGAGCTGTACGAGTTGGAGTAGGAGGAATAGCTGCCCTGACCGTGGTTGTAGCCTTTCTGCTTGCCCTGTGGTGGGCCATAGCTGCCGTACTGGCTCTGGTTGTAGGACGGCTGCTGGCCCTGGTGGGCCTGGTAGCCGGAGCCGTAGGAGGGCTTCTGCTGGCCCCCGTGCGGCGGCTTCTTCCCAGCATGCTTAGGGGGCACCGGCGAGCTGTAGCTGTCCCCTTGGTAGTAGGAGCCGTAGCCAGAGGAGCCACCACCGCCCCCGCCGCCGCCACCACCACCGGCATTCCCAGAATGCCCTCCGTTGCTGTAGAATTGACCTAAACAGGGAGGCAGGGGGTCAGGCAGAGGGTCTGGGAGGCAGGGGAGGCGAGGGAAAGGAAGGTGGCAGCCGTGGGCCCTGAAGGCTGACCTGCACGCGCACGCGCGCACAAGGGGCTGCCCAAAGACAGCGAGGAAGAGGACAGAGCCGCAGCTCTGGTGGTCAAGGCAGCCTGCCGCAGGCCGGCGCAGCCTTCGGCTCCACTCACCCATCAGCTGGTGACAACAAGGGGTCTTTGCCAAGCAGCGCACGACAGCAGCTGTGCAGCAGATGTCAACATTACAATGAGATGGGCTCCGAGCGCGGATGACATTCAGGACTAGCTGACGGCTACCCAGATGTCCCCAACGGTGACAGGAAAAGCAAAGCCCCAGAGAAGCAGCGAGCCACCCCCACCTCCTCCGTTCTGTGCTGGATGGAAACGGGCTTGGCAGGCCTAGGCCGGGGACCCCAGATGTTCCGGAACGAGGCCTCTAAAACCACCACTGTCCTGCAAAGACCAAGTGGTCCAGCCTGGTTCTCGGAAGAGCAATTTGAAACTCCTTGATCAAGTGCGGGTGTCCCCCCAGTGCTACTTGTACAAAAAAACACATGACCTACGGTACAGAAGGGGGTCCCCAAAATCAGGCTGGACATCCAGATGACCATGCAAGACCCCTTAACTATTCCCCCAGCACAGCCGCTGGGCATCAGCAGGGCTGAGCTCATGGGAAGACCCCCACATGTGGGCACTAGGCTTTCACCACACCGCCTTGCCAGAGACTGAGGGGTAGGGTGGGGTGGGGGACAATTGCAGCCTCCATGGTTCCAGGATGCCCCTCGTTGGCAGTGCGAGACATGGCTGTGGAACTCTGAGGGTGGGAAAGCTGAGGCCGAGCTGGCCAGGCCACAGGGCAGCTCTCAGGGGCCAGGCCAGGCCTTCCCCAGCGCTCAAGTAGGGGCTACAAGGCTCCAGGGCCTGGGCACACAGGCCCCTCTGCCACAGCCGGCCAGCGCATGCTCCTGGCCAGGCCCAGGGTGGGTGGGAGGGAGAGGAACGTCCCACACAGCCTAGCCTGTCAGTCTTCCCCAGGTTGAGCACTGAGGATCCCACACTTTGGGGGTGGGGCACGGGGGGGGGGGGGGGAGGGGAGACAGTTTGGCAGTCCTCCCAGGCATTCCATCCCCCGGAGAAACGCACCCCATTTGCTGCCATGTTGTGGGCCACTGGCACAAGCACTGGGGGAAGACAGAACCAGTCTATACACTGGACCTTTTTCTCTGGGCAGCCCCCCTCCTCCCCTCCCCTCCCCGATCACAAAGTACACACCGAGGAGGAGGACGTGTCCCACAGTGCAAGAAAGCAAATGTGCGGAAGCTCAGTGAGGAGGCTGGGTGGACAAGGACCTCGGCACCCCCTCCGAGTAGTCCCCCACCCCCACCCCAGCCTCTAGTCCGGCTTCCCCAGCAGCCTACACTGAGCATCCGTCTAAAGCCGGGAATGAATGAAGACGCAAGTACCGAGGGCTCATTACTTTAACATGTATTGATTCCAAAAAAAAAATAAAGGGGAGGAGGGAGTTTCAACGTCATTCAGGATAACTATTTCCTGGTATAAAAAGACATATACTCAAACAATAACTTTCTAAAAAAAAAAATACATCATGCAATCCAAGTTTTAAAAAGTCTCACTGAATGTTTCAAACCTTGGGAACAAATCACACATGGTAACCATTTTTGACCAGTTTTGCCTGAATGAATGCAAAATCTTGCAAGTCAAGACAGAGGCAGGCTGGGCAGCTAAAATAACCGAAGCCACCGTATCCACCGAAGCGCCCACCAGACAACCCAAACCTGGTGAGGGAGGCAGCGAGGAAGGGCTGCCAGGCCCTGGGGGACCCAAAGCCGGCTCGCCGCTGGGAAGTCAGGGATGTACTAGGCTTCTACTGCGTGATCTTTTTGTTTTGTTTTTTAAAGCCCCGTTAAAGAGTCAAAAGTCAAACATCCAGAATCCCTTGCGTTTGCAGCTGTGACCAGGACTTGCAAAATTTCACATTCTCTAACCCCTTGAAGCTCGTCTGTCTCTCGCACAGGTGATGGAAGCACAGTTTTGATACCTTTGAGAGTCCACTCTAGCCAAACCAGCCACAAAATACTGCACCCGACCAACAAGCAGCCCACCAGAGCCTTTAAACAGGCGGGCATGGCCTCCGCCCAGGGCACCATTCCCAGGGCGCCTTCCCAGCACGGTACAGGCGGGATACAAAGAAAAAAAGTCGCCGGCCTTTGGATCAGTGTGGTGACGTGGTTTTCATCACTGTCAAAGGCATCAACCAGGTTTGGGGATCGGTTAGGAGATTAAAAATTCATACAAAACCTGCTGCAAATTAAGACAAAGGTAGATTAAAATGTGTCACTGTCTGTCTCTTTGAATAAAGGAATGCTTTCTAGATAAAGCACGGGTGGGCTTTTGCCTCGATGCTCAACAGCACTGGCTCTAAAGTTCCGTGCAAGCGTGCACAGAGATACATTCTCTGGGAAAGTGTTCTCCACTTAGTGTGAACTTCAAAATGACCAAGGTTCAAAGGCAAATCACGATAAGAACTGCCATTGTCTTAAATTCTGCAGGCTAAGAGTTTCAGACAAGCTGCGGTGGAAAGCCACGGTTGAGAAACCCAGTGGAGCACAGGGACACAGCACGGACACTTTGGGTTTTGGAGTTGGAAGAAATTGGAGTAAAAAGTTGATTTTGTGTGCAATACTTTTAGACGCTCTAGGAAGACCCAAAATCATGATAGCCGTAGCAGTCTGTGAAAAAGTCACCTACAAAAGGGGGAGACAGAGCAGAGAGAAGAAATTAGAATTCTTTTGAAAAAGGGCACAGAGCGCCACATTTGAACTCATGTTCTAGATTTCTCTGCTCCTGTGGCCCCCAGTGAAGGCTCTTTCTCAGGACAGTAGCGGTGCTTGGGCAGGAAAGGTGCACTCGCCAAGACTGGTGCTTCGCACGGCATACAGCAGAGAAATGGCAAATTTGGACTTCTAAGGAACTTGGCAGGCACATGAGCTTGGTGTGTTGGCACTTATGAACCAAGGACTCGCGGGCGGGATGGGGGCTTGGAGGGCCGACTGGCCAAACTCCGCAAAAAGGTGCGGGTGGCTCTGAGCCTCAGGGAAGCCCCGTGGGCGCCCCGCCCTACACTCAGGCCCACACTATGCTGCGCCGCCTCCCACGTGGACACACACGGAAGCGCACACTTACTGTAGCCTGCCGTCGCCGAGTTGCTGCCGTAGCCGTAGCTGCCGTAGCCGGCCCCTGCAAGAGAGCAGACACGTCCCAGGATGGAGGGGGGCTGCCTTAGACCCCCTTCTCCTTCAGCTTCTCAGTGCACGTGCGCGTATGCGTGAGCTGGGGACACGTGGGACTAGAGCCCTCGCCCTCACCCGCGTTCATGTAGCCTCCGTGGTTGGCACCGCCGAATCCTCGTCCCCGGCCTCGCCCGCGGATGTTACCTCCTCGACCCCGGCCTCGGAGATTGGGGGGTGGGGGCACTTCGTTGTGCATGGGTCCCCCCATGCCAAAGCCAGGGCTGTGGGGCTGGACAAGAGAGCACGGGAGGGTGAGGCCCCTTGGCTTCCCAAGAGGACGGGGGGGGGGGGGGGAGAGGTCGGGGTGCATGGAGGAGGAGGAGAAGCGGTCACCTTGGTGGCAAACTTGGGTCCACCTCTGACAGGAACGGGGGTTCTCTTCTTTTTGTTGGCATCCAGGGAGAGGGGGGCGTCGGGGAAAAGCTTTTCGAGCGCGGCCAGAGCAGCATAAGCCTTTGCTACCTTCTTGTTCGAGCCAGCACCTTGGAACTTCTGGCCGTCTACCTCAACCTGCGGGAAGGCACACGGCAGGTGATCAGGGCCTCCTCCCGTGGGGCAGGGCGGTGGGGGACTCCGGAGACACCCACACCCCAAAATCTCCCTTACCTCCATGACGAAACGCTTGTCGTGGCTGCCGCCTGTCTCGGAGATGAGTTCGTACTTCAGGCCGCGGCGCTTCTCGTTGAGCTCCATGACGGGGTTCTTGCCGTGCTTCGTCAAGATCGGCCCCTGCTGTTTTACGTTCTCAGGGAAAACACAGAAGAAAACCAACACACTCAGCTGCAGGCCCCCGGCGGGACAGGAGGCCCGGCGGCAGCGGGGTGGGGGTGGGGAGGCCCTATTCTCCCCACCCTCTCTGTGCCAGCTCTCAAGGATGGGCTGTCCAGGATGGCATCAACACCCCCCAGCACCCCACGAGCTTACTAGCTTGCACCTGGCTTGAGGTGCGGGCAGGTACTTGGCTCTACCTAAGCTCCCTGAGCTCCCTGCAGCTTCTTGTAAGGGCCACTGCCTGAAGGTCTACCCTGCCCACGGGAAAGGGGGGAAGCGTCCTGTCTACACCGCTTCAGTGGCCACCTCCAGTGCCTACCATGAGCTCACCTCGGCAGTGGCGTCGGCGGGGAAGGCAGCATTGGGGTTCGAGGATGTTTCCATCACGGGGGGCGGCGCCACCACGGCGGGCTTTGCCTCGGTCTCCTCGGCAGAGTCTTCCCCCTTGCTGGAGTCTCTGCCTTCAGCACCTGTTGGCAAGCCCATGTCCTGTAGCACCTGGAGGGTACAGAGCTGGTGAGACGGGGGTGAGGGGGAAGAGGGGAACAGGGACAACATACGGGGGCCTCCTGGACTGGGAGCACTGAGCAGAGCCTGGCCACTAACGTTGGCCTCTTCTCCCTGAGGCCCAGCTAGCTGGGGAGGACCCTGGATGGGGGGCGGGGGAGTGGGGTTGGCCACGCGTGGCTTTGGCAAGTGCTCAAAAATCTAACCACATCCCTCTGTTGACGCCCCGCCCCGCCCTCCTGCTGCTTCTCCCACCGCAAGACGTACAGTACCTTCACGGCCACGTGCAGCTTGGCAGTCTTTTTAGATGGCCCCGAGGCCTCAAACAAACTGCCGTCCACCTCCACAGACATGGTGAAGATGGGGGCGTGCACAGGCCCCGTCTGGGAGATCAGCTTGTACTGCAGCCCCGGCTTCAGCTGGTTCAGCCTCATCAGGGCGTTCATGGCTTGGGGAGGCTCGGTCTTCTCCTCTGCAACAAGACAACTCGGGGTGAGACTTCAGCAGTCCTCGGCCAGAATGGAGCAGGAGGAACCCCGGTGGCCTGCGTAACTCCAGCAGCGTGGGGGGAGGGAGGCGCGCACACACACTCAGACAGACATGACAGACACCAGACAGACAGACACACACACAGGTCTGTGACGCCAGACTCAAAACTACTGTGTCATCCAAGCAAACGAGAGCTGGAGCAGGCAGGCAATGAGAGCGGGTGGGGACGGTGAGCTGCCCCCACACCTTTCTTCTGGATCTTCTTCTTCTTCTTGCTTGGGGACTTCTCGTCCCCGTCCTCCTCCATGGGGCGTTTCATCGGTGTAATGGCGTACGTGGTGCTGGGCGGGATTTGAACTGGAAGGAGAAAGCAGGACAGAAACGGCTAAGAGCAAGGCAGGGAGGCGGGAGCGGCCCTTGGCCCTTGGCCCGGCGCCCGTACCGGTGTAGTCCACTGGGTTCTCGTTCTTTGGTTTCTTGGGCATCTTGGAGGGCAGGGGGTCCATGCCCAGCACTTTATGGAGCTGGCCGAACGCAGCGAGCCGCAGAGCGTGCTGGAGGGGGGGGAAGAAGAGTTTCACTCGGATGCCCGGCGCCGGAGGCCTCGGTCTGTGCGCTCACTACTGCTTTCTGAGAGGGGGGCAGGAGCTGCAGGGCTGCTAATGGTCTCCCCTACATCAGCAAGGGGTTCCCTGACAGCTACGGCAGGGCCTGACTGCTTGAGCCCAGCCTTGCTGTGGGGGAGGGCCAGTCTGTGACCACCCCCCCGGAGAGGAATACAGGAGACCCCAACCTGGGGACTGGTTGCCACACGGAGCCACGTGGTGAGCCTGCCGGGGAAGAGCCCCAGAACGGTCCTCGTGCAAACATGGCACGCGGGCAAGCGGAGGGAGGGGCAGACAACCACCACGCATGGCACCAGGGGAAAGAAGCAGCCCAGATTGGGGCACCCTGTATCAGATCTGTGCCTTCGCCTTTGTCCCCAACCTGAGCCTGCGATCCAGGGGCTGCCCTGAGAATAGCCAGTCATGGAACTGGGAGCCAGTGAGTGCAGACTGGGCAAGGGCTCACGCTGGCAATGGCGACGACTATACCTGCGCACTCTGTGTGATATCTTCCCGTTGCTGTCTGTCTAGATGCCCAATAGCATCAGTGGCTTCTTTTTCACAAGGGTCATAAATGCCAGAACCATCTGAAGGCAGGAAACAAGGAAGATATGCAGAGGATTATCTTTTAGCGTCTCGGAAGAGTTCTGCTGGCTGAGGGACCAGGTGCGTTACCCCCCCGCGCCCCATCCACACCCAGCTCTGGAAAACACGCCGAGCTCGGTGACCCACTCGGCGTCCAGCCCTTGACAGAAATAATCCACATGTGTCTCAGAGCAAGAAAAGCCACGTGGGAGTGGGTCACCACTGCCCCCGGATCCGCCCTTGGAATCAGGGCTGCGGACCCGGCTCAGGGCTGGATATGATGGTGCAAGAGGGTAGTCACATGCTTCGCCCTAGGGGACCTGGGGCTGCTGCTGCTGCCCTAACCCAGTTAGTGGACCGGAGAGGAGGTGGCCACAGGGCCTTGATCCCTGTCCTTTCCCTGCCACTTCTCAAAGCACAAGGCCCCAACCTGGCATCACGATGCCCGAAGCCAGGCACTCCAGCACTCTCCGCAGGGCCTCGCCAGCACCCATGGGCCTGTTGGCCGTGCCGATGGATTTCTCACACAGCAACTCCAGGGGCTAAAAGGCAAGAGGAACAGTGAGCCACCAGCTGCAGAAGGGGACAGCGAATTCCCAGGGGAGCGTTATTACGGAGTGGGTGGAGAGCCACAGCCACCATGGCAATGTCACAGCCCAACACAGCAGGGGACAGGCACACACAGGCAGACTTTTTGAAAAGGACATGAAATCCTTTCGGCTTATGGGCCAGGAGGCGCGAGGAAGATGTCTTTAGGTCATTATAATAAAATGTGATCATTTACAAACGTCTTCAGAGCGGGCTGCAAGGGCATGGCAGCTGGTCAGAACTGGCTGGCCCCGGTCGCTGTTTTACTGGCTTAGAAACTGAGGCAAGCATGCGCTTTGCTATAGAGTGGGGCACACCACTCCAGCAAGCAGCCAGCCTCCTCCACTCCCCATTGAGAGCTGTGTGTCCCCCACAAAAGGTGCTAGTCTTGTTCTTAGCACCCCCCCTCCCCCCCGCCCGGGGCTCTGAAGCATCTCAGCAGTTCTCCACTAGCTGCTCTGAGGGAGTATGACGGCGACCCCCCAGAGCACTCTGCCTGCCCAGCACCACGTATGATTCCTGGGATAGGGACGCCCTCTGCTCCCACTGCTCTGTATCCCCAACTGGAAGGGGCCTTACCCATCCTCTAAGGGGTCCCCAGGTGGGTACACGGGTACACAGGTCCCTCAGGACCCGGATGACAATGACACAGGACTTCAGCCCGTTGGCTCTGGCCTGGAGGAAGAAAGCACAGGCCCTTTACACAGAGGCATCGCCAGATGCCAGGCAAACATGAACAACACAAGTCTCACGGTGCTGCTTTGCCAAGGGTAAGCAGGGGTGCAAGACCACCAAGGGTGTGGCCCGCTGCGCGCTCCCTGCCCAGACAGTGCTGTTACTCGAGGCAAAGCAGCAGCAGCCCACCTGTGCTGGTGCGAGCCTCCTGGGGGTGTCCAATTGGTTTAGTGCGCTCCTTTAGCAGCTGCACGGCCGCAGGTGCTAACAAGATGGCACGGCTATGGTCAATGTTATATAGAGACTTTATGGTCAAAGTTAGCCACATTAAAACTTAGGAATTCTCTACCAAAAGACAAAGAGAAGAACAAAATGCAAACCTGGAACCACTTGGCGTGTCGGAGGGACGCCAAGGCAGCAAGGCATTTCTGCCTGTCCAGAACATCCGGGGGATCGTTGACTGATAGCGTTTCTATTCATGGATGGAATAAGAAGACAAGGCACAGTTTGACCAAGGGGTTCTGTCAGGTGGAAAGGGGAAGTGGCAGCTTCCTAAAGGGCAGCTCAGTCTCCCAGAATCTGCATTCGTCTCCACCCTAGGCCAGGGAAGGAGAAGCTAGAGTGCAATCAACTCTGCCCTGAGAGGAAATCAGAAAAAAAATCGGAGGCCCCCTCCAAAAAACAAAACAAAAAAACAAAAAACAAAAAAAAAAACCCAGAAACAAAAAGAAAACAAAAAAAGAAAAAAAAAAAAGAAAAAAGAAAAAAAAGGAAAAAAAAAATCCAAAGTGGGAAGTTATTCTAAAAGGAATAATCCATGGGGAAGGGGAAAAGATAGGCTGATCCTATCTTCTAATAGACCAGTCCCTTGCTTTCTCCCCTTAAGTTAGCTAGGCTAGAATTTTCAATAGGAAAAACAAACACAAAAAAAGGTGGGGGGAGTGGAAATGAACTCCCTCTCTGCTTCGACAGCCATCCCCGGAGGAATCTGCGGCAAAGGGGACCACCTCCGCCCACCAGGCGGGACTGCCCTACCCCAGCCCTTGACAGAGAGAGTCCTGTTGGTCAAAGGTCCAGCGTCCCTACGTGGATAAACTATGAAGGCTTGGGTCATTCGCACTGGAATGAGCGCCACAGGGAATCAACAGCAGCAAGGGGGCGGCGTCAGCCTAGGCTGCAGTACTGCTGGGGCGCATGTCTGCTCTGCCACTTGTCCATCAGGGATTTGGATAAGGCCTGAGATGAGGCCAGGAGGGCCCAGGCTGCATGGTGTATCGCAAAGGCAGCACTAGGGTCTGAAGGACAAAAATCCATATAGAAAATATCCAATGGTTTCAAACCTTATCCAAACCTCTGTACGAGCCCCTGGCTTCTCAGACCCTCAAGGGTGATGGAAGGCGGCAGTGGCAGAGGACAAAGGAAGACACCTCAGTTCTGCAGCGCACGCTGACCTCCCAACTCCTATGTTCATGCCCAAGCCATCGGGGGTGTGGTTACCAGTTACAAAACCAGATTACCAGGGACACTCCTTTCCAATACCAGAATAGTTCACCATGGACACAAGTTGCAAACACATTTGAGAAGTCTTAAGAGAAATCTTAACAGAAGCACAATGGCGCCTTCCTCTCTGAACAGTGCTACTCACTTTTAGTGCCTCCATCGGTCAAACTGCCGAGGGCTCGAGACCCAGGCAGACATGTGATCTCAAGAGTTAAAAATGGGTCAGAGCTACACCGACACCCTCTGATCAAAGCAGTCTAAAACTGAATAGCACATTTGACCAGTGAGGCAACTCCAAGGTTTCAGAACTCTGCCGGTCTGTCTCAGCCTCCCTACCTCCAGCTAATACTTTTTCCATTTCTTCTCTGACAACAGGGGATGTCAGGTGGATGGTCAGGGACAATGGAGGTTCTTTTGTGTTTTTTATCACAATGGCAGCATCATCCACAGATTGGAGAATTTCATACTTGTCTTCTGTTACAGTCTGGAAAAGAAAATACAGCTTTCAAAACACTTGGTCTGCAGCGCCATCAATAATGCTGGCTGGCTCTGCCGCTTCCTGGAGCGAAGGCGTCCAGCCAGACTTCAGTACCTAACTGACTCACTCCAACACCGGGCATTTTCTAGGCACTCCAGGGAGGGAACCACTAAGTCATACAGCAAGACAAGCCACTTCCACCAGGAGGTTGAAAACACAAAAGGAGAAGCATGCAGCGCAGTGATCTCCGCAACTCAAGGAAGCGGAAAGAGAGGATCATGAGCCCAGCAGTTCAGAAGCAGCCAAGTAACTGGGCAAAATGACCATCTCCAAAAAACCGGTAACAGATGGAGCTAGGGCACACTGGCTCACACAGACCTGTAACCTTAGCTACTCAGGAAGTGAAGATCTGAGGATCAAGGTTCAAAGGCAAAGCTGGGAGCCAGGCTCATGCCTATAATCCTACTCAGAAGGCCGAGATCTAAAGATCACAATCAAAGCCAGCCCAGGCAGGAAAGTCTGTGAGACTGAAAGTCCTATCTCCAATTAACTACCAGAAAACCAGGTGTGGCACTGTGGCTCAAAGTGGTAGAGTGCTAGCCTTGAGTGAAAAAGTTCAGACACAGTAGAGTTACCAGGCCCTGAGTTGAAACACCACAACTAGGAGAAGAGAAAGGGAAAAAAAAAAAAAAAAAAAAAGAGGTTCACAGCCAGCCCAGGCAGGAAAGTCCATCACCAACTAACCAGTATTTAAAAAAAAAAAAAAGCCTGAAATGTAGCTGTGACTGAAGTGGTAGAGTGCCAGCCTTGACCCAGGAAGCTACGGGACTGGGCCCAGGCCATGATTACAAGACAGCACCTAGATCCTGAGTAGAAGCCCCAGTACCAGAACCAACTTTTTAAAAAAAAAGGCAACTTGAAGGGATGGGTGGGGTTGGGCACAAGGTGGGGTGGGGGAGCAAAACATTGTCCTCATAAACTGTTATGTTGAATTGAAATACCTTTGTACAACTACTTAAGTTAAAAGAAGAAATTGCAATCAGAAGGCAGGGATAAACACCTCACCTTGTAACACTAGCACTCAGAACCTGAGGGAAAAGATTCATGAGTTCAAGGCCAGCTGAGCAACATAGTAAGAAGGAATTATTCAAGACTGGGGAAAAAACTATGTGTGAATCTTCCTTTGGTTACCTAACAGTAATTTTCAATAAATCAATTCATATGGAAAAGGTCTATTTTTTGAAGACAGGGTCTTACTACATACCCCAGGCTGGCAGAGAATTCATTTATCCTTCTGCCTACCTGCCTCAGTATCCCTCGGGCTGGTATTACAGGCATGCACACCACCACACCTAGCTCAAGACTTCAAGATTGAGGGTCACAATCTGTGGACATAACATGCCCATGTGGCAAGGCTATAGAAACATTTCAACTGAAGCAGAGTACCCCAGGCAAATATGCAGTCACCACAGGCTCTATGCTGTGAGCAGCAGCCACTGGACATTGGTGGTACCCAGTGTGCGTATCTGGCACAATTGCTCCACTGCTTGTCCACAAGCCTCGTTTCTCCTGTCTATATGATCATTCAAATGACTTGGAGAAAACTCCAGCTTTCTCATACTCATTACTATGCTGAATGAATGGAAGGGAAAGACTGTTAGGATTTCACAAATTCCACATAATCAACATTCTAGGTGGGTAATTTGAAGGTGGGAAGCAGTTCGGTGCATCACAGGATTCTCAATGGCGTTCCTGGGCCTTGCTCATAGGTGTTGGAGTTGACACCAACTATCATCAAGGAAAAATCGATTGTCAAGCATCAGCAAAATTCTGGGCACTAGCCGGGCATCGGTGGCTCACATCTGTAATCCTAGCTACTCAGGAGGCTGAGATCTGAGGATCACAGTTCAAATCCATCCTGGGCAGGAAAGTCCATGAAACTCTTATATCCAATAAACCACTCAGAAAACCGGAAGTGGCACTGAGGCCCAAGTGGTAGTGCACTAGCCTTGAGCTGAAGAGCTGAGGGACAGCATTCAAGTCCAGAGGTCAAGCCCCATGACCGAAAAAAAAAAAAAATTCTGGGCACTGGTGGCTCATGCTTGTAATTCTAGATACTGAGGATGAAATGAGAATCAGGGTTTGATGCTGGCCTGGGTAGAAAAGTTCATGAGACTCATAACTCAAATTAGCCACCAAAAAGCCATAAGTGGAGCTGTGACTCAATAGTAGTGAAAAAGCTAGGGAAATAGGCAGGTGCCAGTGTCTCACGCGTGTAATCTAGCAACTCAGGAGGCTGAGCTCTGAGGACCGTAGTTTGAAGCCAGCCCAGACAGAAGTCTGTGAGACTCTTATCTCCACAAAACTATCCCCAAAAAAGCCATAGAGCTGTGGCTCATGTAGTAGAGATTAGCCTTGAGCAAAAGAAGCTCAGGGATAGAGCCAAGGCCCTGAGTTCAAGTCCCAGTACCACATATTTTTGAACAATCTAGCCTTGAAAATGCTTAAACACTGGGGCCGGGAAGGTGGCTCAGTGGTAGAACGCTTGCCTTGCATGCTTGAGGAACTGGGTTCGATTCCTCAGCACCACATAAGCAAAAAGAAAAAAGCCGGAAGTGGCGCTGTGGCTCAAGTGGTAGAGTGCTAGCCTTGAGCTGAAGAGCTGAGGGACAGTGCCCAGGCCCAGAGTTCAGGCCCACGACTGGACCCCCCCACACACACACAAAAAAAGAAAATGCTTAAACACATGCTCTACAACACTGAGCTATTATTATTTGTATACTTAAGGAATGATTTTACAATAGTTCTTCCTATAAAAACCTTTATCATTCTTGAAGTACACTACAGGACTAGGGAGGCTGAGTAAGGAAGATCATGAATTTGAGGCCAGCCTGGTCAACATAGCAACTTCACAGAAAAACTAAACTACATAGCCTTGAAAAACTAAGGGCTGGAGATGCAACTCAGTGGTAGGTAGCATGCCCAGCACCACAAAAAAGAATAATTTTAAGTAGAATGCCTCTGGCTCATGCATGCAATCCTAGCTACTCAGGACAGCACCAAGGCCCTGAGTTCAAGCCCCAGGACCAGAGGGGGGGAGGGGGGAAGAATCATTTATAACAAATTGCTTTCCCTAATATATTTTACAAACAATGGTAAAAATGAAATTACCACTAAAAAAAAAAAGTATTTTAATGCCAGGCACCAGTGGCTCACACCTGTAATCCTAGCTACTCAAGAGGCTGAGATCTGAGGATCATGATTCAAAACCAGCCCAGGCAGGAAAGTCCACGAGACTCTTATCTCCAATAAACCACTCAGAAAACCTGAAGTGGGGGCTAGGAAGATGGCTCAGTGGTAGAGCGCTTGCCTTGCAAGTATGAGGCCCTGGGTTCGATTCCTCAGCACCACATAAGAAAAAAGCCAGAAGCGGCGCTGTGGCTCAAGTAGTAGAGCGCTAGCCTTGAGCTGAAGAGCTGAGGGACAGCGCCCAGGCCCAGAGTTCAGGCCCCACGACCAGACCAAAAAAAAGAAAACCTGAAGTGGCGCTGTGACTCAAGTGGTAGAGAGTTAGCCTTGAGCTGAAGAGCTGAGGGACAGCCTTCCTGCCCAGAGTTCAAGCCCCATGACCGACAAAAAGAAAAAAGGATTTTTAGTGCATCTATTTGTAGCATTTTAGACATTTCTAGCATAATACACTTGCTCCCAGGCCCAATTCTTATCACATGTGATGAAATGTATGTTTACAGGTGAAAGTTTTTCTTAGGAACGGGAAAAAACAGGAGACATGAGCCAGACTCCAATTGATCAGATTGAACACAGACTGTAAACGTGTACATAGTACACGCACTGTAAATGCAGAAAAGTAACAATGACAATGCAATTCTAATGACTAATGTAAGCTAAGAAAAAGGGGGGTGTGGGGGGGGACCACAGTACTTCTGGCCTAGAGTCTAGTATAGGAAATGCTCAATTAATGTCACAGACCATTGCCTTTATAACTAAAATAGATGGCTCCCCTCCGTATTAGGGCCTGGGCACTGTCCCTGAGCCTCTTTTGCTCAAGGCTAGAACTCTCACTTGAGCCAGAGTGCCACCTCTGGATTTTTATGTGTATATGGTACCGAGAAATCAAACCCAGGGTTTCATGCATGCTAGATAAGCACTCTACCACAAAGCCACATTCCCAGCCCAAAAAAAGTAGGGGCTGGTAAGTTACTCAGTGGTAGAGTGCTTGCCTCGCATGCATGAGGCCCTGGGTTTGATTCCTTAGCACCACATAAACAGCAGAAAGCCGGAAGTGGTGCTGTGGCTCAAGTGGGAGGGCTCTAGCCTTGAACTAAAGAGCTGAGGAACAGTGCCCAGACCAACCAAAAAACAAAAGTATTTCTGGTGCCAGGTGCCAATAGCTCATGCTTATAATCCTAGCTACTCAGGAGGTTTAGATCTGAGGATCACAGTTTGAAGCCAGCCCAGGCAGGAAAGTCTGTGAAACTCTCATCTCCAATACACCTCCCAGAAAAAGGTGTAAGTGGCACTGTGGTTCACGTGGCAGAGTGCTAGCCTTGAACATGAAGAAGCTCAAGGACAGCACCCAGGCCTTGAATTCAAGCCTCAGGATTGGCAAAAATAAATAAATAAAAATTGATTAAATTTTTTTTTTTTAATTCTGTATTTGCCCAAGTCTGGCTCTCAGAAACGTCATTTTCATTCCTTCCTTCTTTCCACATCCACTGCAGCATGGACATTCTACCCCCCAGCAAAACAGCCTCGATGCTGTGCACGATGGCGTACAGCGGGCGCAGGACCTCACTAGCTGCCAGTGTCTGGGCACCACCCTAGTAGCCAGCAGGTGAGTTACCACCAACGCTGTGGCTCTGTGGCATATGCCTGCTACCTGTGAGAAAGGTGCAGGCACGAGAAGTGCAAAGGCGGACACGATACCCAACACGGGCTAGTTTCCATCCTCTGCCCCGGGTCCTCCACCAGCCCACCGCTGCCCTCAGCCCCGAGTCTGTTAGTTGTGGTCACACTCACAGCGAGCTGGATGGCCAGGTTGTCTGCTACCTTGTCCAGGAGGGCAGTTGTAGGCTTCTCCTTACAGAGCAGTACCAGCTCCAGATCCAAGTCTCCCTTTAGCAGAAGGCCCTTGGCCACCAGACCAACCCGCATCACACCCCGGAGGGTCCTGGTCATGTGTTCTGCTTTCTGTTCCCTGAGGGACGATGAGAGTCTGGTTCAGTAGGGACAGGTGTAGCCGGAACCCAGAAAGGCTACAGCTTCTCAGGAAACTCCATGCTGAGCCCTGGCCTGGCTAGCACTTACCCAGCCCCTTCTTTGTTCTCATCGTCCGGAGCTGTGTCCATGTTGTCAGACTCGGCGGGCTCGCCGCTGCCCTTCTCCTGCTCATCGATCCAGTCAGACACCGCTTTGAGCGCCCGCTCAGTATGGGACACCATGTTCTGCACTGCCTCCAGCTCCTCTTGTGTCGGATAAACCGAAGAATGCTTTGCCATTACATGGCGATCGTCATTCACAAAAATTCGCATTGGACGCTGGAAATGCGAAAACTATACTAAAAATGATGCAAAGAGAGCAAGCAACCCACCACTTAGCATTTAAGCTCCAAATGATGCACCGCCATTCACATAAGACTGTATCTGTATGAGTGCCAACTGAAGGAGACTCAGAAGATGACACCAAATTCAGCTGCTCTCTCCAGGGAGTGGGAGAAACAGAATATCTGATAGATTTCCCTCATTTCCATACTACAGTAGTCCCCTTTATCCATGGGAGTACAAGCCAAGATCCCCAATGGACACTTGCAGACAATACTGAACCCAGGAAAGCCTGTTTTTCCTCTACATACATTGTAGGGTTCAATTTGTCACTTCAGCACATAGAGCAATGCTAACAATACTGTAATAAAAGCTATGTGAATGTGGGTTTTCTCTCAAAATAATGTGTTGTACTCACCCTTCTTCTCCTCGTGATGAAGTGATGATACAAGGCCTACGTGATGAGATGAAGTGAGGTGAATGACGCAGGCATGGTGAGGGCGTGCAATTTAAAATTTAGGAATTGTCTACTGCTGGAATTTAACTCTGGCAAACCGCGGAGGACCGCAGGTAACTTAAACCCCGCTGGCCATGGAAACACAGATATTATGGTAGATATTACTTTATAGTTCAAGAAGCCTAACAGGCCTTGCCTGTCGCTCACAACTGTCATCCTAGCTACTCAGGAGGCTCAGCTCTGAGGGTCCTGGTTCAAAGCCAGCCCGGGCAGAAAAGTTTGTGAGACTCGTATCTCCAATGAACCAGCAGAAAACCAAAGTGGAGCTGTGGCTCAAAGTGGTAGAGCACTAACTTTAAGCAGAAAAGCTCAGGGGACAGGGCCTAGGCCCTGAATTCAAGCCCCACAACTGACCAAAAAAAAAAAAAAAGAGCAGCCAGGTGCCTGTGGCTCACGCCTGTAATCCTAGCTATTCAGGAGGCTGAGATCTGAGGATCCCAGTTCAAAGCCAGCCTGGGCAGGAAAGTCCGTGAGACTCTTATCTCCAATAAACCACTAGAAAACCGGAAGTGGCGCTGTGGCTCAAGGGGTAGAGCACTTGCCTTGAGCTGAAGAGCGCAAGGACAGCACCCAAGCCCAGAGTTCAAGTCCCACCACCAACAAAAACAAAACAAAACAAAAACCCTAGGGCCGGATGCTGGTGGCTCACACCTGTAATCCTACTATTCAGGAGGCTGAGATCTGAGGATCACAGTTCAAAGCCAGCCAGGGAAGTAAAATCCATGAGACTCTTATCTCCAATAAAACCACTAGAAAACCAGAAGTGGCGCTGTGGCTCAAGGGGTAGAGCACTTGCCTTGAGCTTAAGACCTAAGGGACAGTGCCCAGGCCCAGAGTTCAAACCCCATGGCCGAAAAAAAAAAAAAAAATCCTAGTAGGAAATGATAGTAGAATCAAACTCTTCGGGGAAATGCTACAAACATCTTTGTACATAAATGAAGAAATATCTGTAATCAAAGAAAAATTGTTCTTACCATTTTTGCTTCTCTTTCTGTAGTGTCCGGAAATCACTTTTGCTTATCTTTTCAAATTGTGACAGATTTCCTTGGTGTTATCAATACTTCAACTATCTATAAGACCAGAAAATCTTTTTAGTCTCAAATATTTCAAAATGCATGAAACATCAGCAGCTGTGGGCGCTGCCGGGTGCTGGCAGGGAGGCCGCCACAGTGCTCCCTCCACATGAAGGGCATGCTCACCCAGCAGGGCACACCTCCATGTCCAAGTAACTAATCACAACTTCCTTAAATGAAAACATCTGCTCTGCAAAAGCCAGGTATGAATCTAGGCCTAGACTCAGAAAATCTTTACTTTCTCTTCTAATATCTTTCACCATTTCTTCATATATACCCACAATTTACCTCGCCAGTGCTCAGATCAAACGCAGGAAGCTCCAAGCGGTAAAACACCTGCTTTAATTAGTGGTACAACACGTGCTTTAAAATGTGTGTCAGGCATGGCTCACGCCTGTAAACCTAACTACTCAAGAGGCTGAGATCTGAGAATCCCAGTTCAAAGCCAGCCCAGGGAGGAAAGTCCATGAGACTCTTAGGTCCAATAAAGGACTAGAAAACCGGAAGTGGCGCTGTGGCTCAAGTGGTAGAGCACTCACCATGAGCTGAAGAGCACAAGGACAGCGCCCAAGCCCAGAGTTCAAGCCCCATGACTGATTAAAAAAAAAAAAAAAGTGTCAGCCCTGGTTCCATTCCTAACTCCAAATAAAACACAGCAAAATGAAATGCAAAACAAATATATTAACCAGTTTCCCAAAAACAAGCTATAGATACTTAGATTATTTGTCAAAATCTTGGTACTTGGAGGCCAGAGGAATTGCTAGCAAGCAGAAGTATGGCTCAAGTGATAAGACCATCAAGCAAATGTGAGACTGAGTTCAAACTCAAGTACCGGCTGGGCGCCGGTGGCTCACACCTGTAATCCTAGCTGCTTGGGAGGCTAAGATCTGAGGATCATGATTCAAAGCCAGCCAGTCCAGGAAAGCCAGTGAGACTCTTTTTTTTTTTTTTTGGGGGGGGGGGGGGTCCAGTTGTGGGGCCTGAACTCTGGGCCTGGGCACTGTCCCTCAGCTCTTCAGCTCAAGGCTAGCGCTCTACCACTTGAGCCACAGTGCCACATCCAGCTTTTTTTCTTTTTGCTTATGTGGTGCTGAGTAATCAAACCCAGGGCCTCATTCATGCAAGGCAAGTGCTCTACCACTGAGCCACCTTCCTAGCCCTCCCCCCCTTTTTTTTGGGGGGGGGTCTGGTCATGGGGCCTGAACTCTGGGCCTGGGCACTATCCCTCAGCTCTTCAGCTCAAGACTAGCGCTCTACTACTTGAGCCACAGCGCCACGTCCAGCTTTTTTCTTTTTGCTTATGTGGTGCTGAGGAATCGAACCCAGGGCCTCATGCATGCAAGGCAAGCACTCTACCACTGAGCCACCCCCAGTGAGACTCTTATCTCCATTGAACCACCAGAAAACCAGAAATGGCACTATGGCTCAAGTGGTAGAGCACTAGTCTTGAGCTGAAGACCTGATGGATAACGCCCAGGCCCCAGGGTTCAAGCCCCATGACCAACACCAACAACAACAACAAAAAAGGTGTGGGGGGAAATGTGAGTGGGGAAAAGAAAAAAAATGAAAAAAAAAAAAAAAAAGGTGCTTGTAGCACATGGTAGTGCACAACTATAAATCCCAGAATTATGGACGCTAAGATAGAAGGACCCTGAAGTTTGATAGCCAGACAGATCTTGTGTCTCAATCAAAACAAAAAAATAATCTTGGGGGCTGGGAAGGTGGCTCAGTGGTAGAGTGCTTGCTTCGCATGCATGAGGCCCTGGGTTTGATTCCTCAGCACCACATAAGTAGAAAAAGCCAGAAGTGGTGCTGTGGCTCAAGTGATAAGCGCTCACCTTGAGCTGAAGAGGGACAGCGCCCAGGCTTAGAGTTCAGTCCCCACGACTGACCAAAAAATAAATACATTAATAAATAATTAATAATCTTGGTCTCTGAGTCTTGAGGCGTAAGCAGCCATAAGAGACGAAGGTCCCAAAAGGGCTTCTGTAGAAAGGCAAGAGGCTCTTGACAAATATGACAAGATGTGACACCATCAACAACTGGGTAAACTTCAGGGTGGCTGAGATGCTGAAAAGTATAATCCAAGTCTTCAGGACAAAGGAGCCAAAAATTACAATTCTGCTCTCTAAATAATATGCTGACCACAACCTACTCAATTCCCACTCAGTACCAACAGTCTGGCCATACTGAAATCTTCCTAATTAGTCCACAACGTAGGCCATCTACCTTAATATGCACCTCAAGAATCTGCCTTCCTTCCCACAATCGTACCTGGTGAGCCCCTTTCCCTTCCATCTACATTACTCACAAGCAACCTGGAGGCTCAAACCTGGGAAGGAATGAGTTCTGAGGACAAATTCTACCACAGCTACTCAACACTGTAACTTCCCATAGTGCTTCAAGAACTAGAATTGCACATTTCTAAGTTCTAAGTTAAACCTAACTTCTAAGAAGCCAGGCAATAGGAGGTAGTAAGGAAGGAGAATGAGAAGGGGCGCTTGGTAGAGGAAGAGCACAGGGTGGGATAGATAAGAGATCACTCACGCTGAGACTGTGTGGGAGCTACCATACAGACACGAAACTGTTCAGCCACTACTTGTGTGGTGGGAACGGCTCCCGTAGAGTTCCCTGTGCTGTGCTACCCTCTGCAGGAGACCACAGAAACAAAACAGGTTGCTGTCAAGCAGGTAGCACAAACCCCATGGGCCCTCCAATGTGGCAACAACTTCCATTCTGACAAGGTCTACATCACCAGGCTGCTGACAGCTCAACTCCAGTGCGCTGCATGTCCACGCGCAGGCTGCATTAAGGAATTTTCCTTAGGGCAGGATGGTAAGTAAATGATGCTGAGTTGTGTCTCAAGAAGGCCTTTTGTTATGTGTGCCTGAACTGGGACTTGAACTCAAGGCCTCTCTCTCTCACTTGGTTTTTTCACTAAGGGCTAATGCTTTACCAGTTGAGCCATACCCTCCATTTCTGGGTTTTTTTTTTTTGTCAGTCTTGGGGCTTGAACTCTGGGCCTGGGTGGCTGTCACTCAACTCTTCAGCTCAAGGTGAGCGCTCTACCACTTAAGCCACAGCACCACTTCTGGTTTTCTGGTAGCTTATTAAAGAGTTTCACCACTTTTACTGCCTGGGCTGGCTTTGAACCACAATCCACAGATCTCAGCCTCCTGAGTAGCTAGGATAACAAGCATGTGCCACTGGTGCCCAGCCATTTCTGGTTTTTTACTGGTTAAATGGAAGCTAGAATCTCAAGGACTTTCTTGCCCTGGCTGGACTTTCTTTCCTGGGCTGGATTCAAACTGCAAACATTGGCCTCCTCGGTAGCCAGGGTTACAGGTGAGCCATCAGCTCACCAGCTTTGAGGAGGTCTTTTCTTTTCTTTTCTTTTTGGGTCCGGTCCTGGGGCCTGAACTCTGGGCCTGGGCGCTGTCCCTCAGCTCTTCAGCTCAAGGCTAGCACTCTACCACTTGAGCCACACCGCCACTTCTGGCTTTTTTCTTTTTTGCTTATGTGGTGCTGAGGAATCGAACCCAGGGCCTCAGGCATGCAAGGCAAGCGCTCTACCACTGAGCCATCTTCCCAGCCCCAGGTCTTTTCTTTTTTAACTTTTTTTTTTTTTGGTCGGTCGTGGGGCCTGAACTCTGGGCCTGGGGGCTGTCCCTCAGCTCTTCAGCTCAAGGCTAGCGCTCTACCACTTGAGCCACAGCACCACTTCTGGCTTTTTCTGCTTATGTGGGGCTGAAGAATCGAACCCAGGGCCTCATGCATACAAGGTAAGCACTCTACCACTGAACCATCTTCCCAGCCCAGACGAGGTCTTTTCTATCAGCTTGACACAACCTATGCAAGAGCCTATAAAGTGTTCATAGCTGTTGAGGCTGGGAGATGGGTAGACCAAGGTTTATTAATGCGTGTTTGAAAAGTTCCATGACAGCCTTCCCTCCCCTCCCTCATATGTCATAAATTTAAGCCAAAGCTCAGAAAACCACCCACAGCCAAGGACAGGAAATACTGCCGAGCTAAATGTGGGAGAAGTCAGCTGTGCTTGACTGTCACCTCAAGTCTTTATTATCTTTGTAGTGATCCCATCAATCTGCTTCTGCTTACAAGTGTATTTTACTCCAAGTTTTTGTGTGTGTGTGCCGACCCTGAGGCTTGAACTCTGTCCCTGATCATTTGTACTCAAGGTTACAGCTCTACCACTTGAGCCACAGCTCAGCTTCCAGCTATTTGGTGATTAAATGGACTAGAGATGAGTCTCACCGACTTCTCTGCCCGGGCTGACTTCGAACTGCAATTCCTCAGATCTGTGTCCTAGTAGCTAGGATTGCAGGCCTGAGTCACTGGCGCCCAGCCTACTCAACAAGTATTTATCACATACATCCTTATTTCTTCCATGCCAGGCACTGAGCTCCATGCTGGGAATGCCAGGCGAGGCAGATAAGTCCCTTGTTTCTGGAGACTTGGTCACATGGCACGTCCTTCAAGAAGAAATGCTTCCCCTCGAAACCCTCGAAGGAGCCAGAAGCCTGAGCCAGCGCTCAGGACACGCGTCCACCTCAGTCAACCTGGCTCCACCGCAATACAAACAGCCAGCCTCGGCAGCAAGGCTCCAGGTGGCTAAGACCTTTCTTTACATTGGAGGATGACAGATAGTCTAAAACTCTCTCCTGAAGAAGCAGTTGACTGGGTCCCTGAAGCAGTAACTCCATCAGGTGGGCCTGGGCACTCAGCGCAGAGGCAGCTGCCTTCTACAGGCTCTGCTGAGAAAACTGCAAACCAAAATGAACCCTGCTTCCAGTTATACAAACTTCTAGAACAGGCAAAAAATAATCATGAAGCCGGGCACTGATGGCTCACGCCTGTCATCCTACCTACTCAAGAGGCTGAGATCTGAGGATCATGGTTCAAAGCCACCCCAGGCAGGAAAGCCCAATAAGACTCTTATCACCAATGAGCCACTTGAAAACGGGAAGTGGCGCTGTGGC